ATTTTTACACAAATGAAATTTAGTAGTATAAAATAAAGATATGATATGAGCAGAAGAATTTGTATGAAGATTTGGTGTGAAAAGTTAATAACATTGGTAGGTATTTATAGAAAGAAAAAAATTATGAATTTTGTTGTTGTTCTATCAGAATTTTTTCCAATTTTTTTTTTTCAATTTTCATGCTGTCGTTTGGAGAAAAAAATTGATCAGACGCCCCAGGTCATGCCACACCTGGCATCAGTGAAAAAAAATTCAAATTTTTTTACTGTTGGCTAGCGTGAGCGCTCCCGCCCCGCGTGTACGTCATGCATCAATGGTTAAAAAAAAAGGACTTTTACTTGTTTACGCCAGCCTGGTGTCAACGCTAATGTCATCGCCCATGGGCAGGAGCTTGAGCTGATCTTGCCTTGGGCCTTGCTCGGGCTTGGTGGACCCCATGTGTTGCCAGGGTAGGAATTCACCGCTGGAACCAGTTTTGGAAGCCTAAGGGCCTTTTGCCTAGGTTGGGCTCACCGTTGGAAGTGCTCTTAGAGATTCTAGAATTTGTGAAATTCAATTATTATGTCAAATTAGGTGGTGGTTGTGTTTTTGTTTTCCCAAAATGAAAAGTTGATTTAAAAATTAAAAGTGGTTTTATATTCTAGTTGTAGTTTAACATTTGTGAATATGTTTTTGAATCTCATACTGAACGAGTGAGGATGTCTCATCCTACCTCCTGCGTTTCAGCCACACTGCGAAATTTGTAGCAGGACTAGGTTGCTAAGCTGCAGTTTATCCTGTTCAGACCAAAAAAAAAAAAAAGCTGCAGTTTGTCCTGAAATTTGTTATTTTGATTATAGATAAAAATTTGTTGTGTTTTTTTATGGGGTATATAGCAGATATTGTTTTCAGGTATCTAGTTTATAAACTAGTAATGCATGAGTAAAGTCAAACAATGTTTGTGAGAAAGCTCAAAATCTTGTGGTTACGCTTCTTTCACCAATACATTGTTTTTGTGTAAAATGTTCTTGATACATTCTCATTTATTTTCATGGGTTTTGCCAAAAAAAGAATTATTGAGCCAAGTGAGATGCTCTTACGACTGAGCTATGAACTCGTCGGTTGGTTTTCTTAAAGTGGTTGCTGAGTACGCACACAGCTACTCGGAAGTGCCTTATATAACAATATTTTCATTTAGAGCCCTTGATCAAACTCAAGCAATCTTCTTCCTGAAAAATGGCATCCTTCCAAATGGCAAAAGACACCATACCTCTTTACCTTTTGTGAAGAATCAAAGTGGGAAACGACATCTTAGTTTTGAGTAATGGAAGATATAAGAGCGCGGATCGCATCCACAACAATGTTTTCATAGGCGAGGCGTATAGGCGAGGCGTTTTTAGTAGCGCTATGCGAGGCGTAAGCCTTGAGGCATTGAGGCGTAAGCCTTTTGAACATTAAGTTATTTTAATAAGAAAAATTTATGAATAATACAATACGATTAAATTGTACAACTAATTCTTATTCAACTATAACAATCTTTTAAATATAATCAAATATAAGTACTAATTGTCATTCAAAACATAATAATCAATCCCAAAACATAAAATATTTATTCAACATCAAAACAAAAACATAATTCACTCATCCCACTCCTCAACACTAATATCATTCAAACTAGCATCACTGTCATATTGATCAACTGTATCAATATGAAAAGGATATTTCCCACTATCAAATGTTGAAGGATCTTTATCTATCTCATCATCTTCATCCATAAGCATAGCTCTTATGGACTTGCTTTTGACTTTCCTCTTACCTGTACATATGAACAATGAATTAAAATTATAAAATTTAGTGGTAATGAATTAAACACTAATTGTAACTTTCACTCCATGA